GATTCGAAGGATACTTTAATGAAATATAGTAATTTCAATCGGGAAGATAGAGTTTTTTATGAGTATGGTGTAAATATAAAACCCTTTATCTGAACTTCTATTTCCCAGACAAAAATTTTTTCTGAAGCCTTTTCATTGACAAATATTTTGCTATATTTTTCCAAAAGGATGTTTCTCTGAAAAGATATCATCAAAAAAAATGGAATTGGAGTTGAGAAAGATGAATATAAAGCATTCTTTTACTATCAAAAATCCGTAGAAGTAGGAGATATCTGGGCAATGTCAAAAGTTGCAGAATGTTATCGAAATGGAATTGGAATGACAAGAGATTTAAATAAAGCCGCATATTGGTATCAAAGGTAAATTTAATTTTGATTTCTCAACATGATGTCTTTTCGATTACAGCTATTTTCAAAGAGATGTAGAAACGATTTCTATATACCCATAGAGGAATCGAAGAATGTGGAAATTCTGCTTGGTAAAAGTTAAAAATCCGATTATGGTGGGTCTTGAAGACTCTGGAAATCTAGAAAATATCCTGAATTCCCTATGGTATAGTGATTTGCATCTTCCACAAAATTTTGAAAATGGCTATAAACAAATTTGAATAAATCATCGCTGATATTCTTGTGGAGAAAACCAAAAGAATTGTGCTAGGATTAGAAGCCATAGTGTGATGGAATGAGGAACGAGACTACAAATTCTTTGTATTATTCTTTCTTTTTGTTTTTTCTATTTTTTTGTATAAATAAGATAGTTTATACCATAATGTCAAAAAAAATGTAACATTCGGATAAATTGTATATTAGTAAAATAAAAATTTATTTTTTTAATATTCTATAAAATGGAAATTGTAAATAAGTGACTTATCAGTAAAATTTATTATAAATTAAATGATATTTCGGTAAAATGAGACTTTCGGAATTATGTCTTGTTAGTAATGCTAGTATTATAACTTCAGTGAAATGGTATTTTGGTAAAATTGATTTGGGAAGTTAATCCATATCTGAATTTTATCTATATTATTAATTAAAAACTGGATTAGATTTAGCCGGAATTAATACCCCAAATAGAATATAATTTTAAAACCACAATCCTAGTAATGCAAAATGGGCTTTACAGAGCTGTAAGCAATTGATTTAGCTGAGCTAATTAATGGCTTGGCTTACTAATAGCTTGGCTAATTGTTTTTATATATTTTGCTAATAACAAAAATAAATATATTGATATTGATATTATTATTTTATTTTTGTGCCTTAGGTAAGTTAGATATTATATAGATTTAATTGCTATTACTTAAGTTGAATATTTTAGATTTAATAGTTATTACTTCAAACAATCTAGGTATTTTGAAATGTTTATTATAGAACAAGTTAAAAGACTACTTAGTTGTTAAATTAATATTTTTTTCTTATTTATGCTAATTTGCTTTTTGGTTTATACTATATTTACCAATAGTTTAGCTATATATTATATAAAGCTGGGTTAAAGCTGTTAATAATTATAAAGTCTTAGATTAGCTGTTAAAACAATTGTTTTTGACTTTATCATAGTTAGGGAAATGCCATTTATTACATAATTTCAATAGAGTAAGAGGGGGATTAGCAGTCCTATCATGTCTATATATTATATATAAAAACTATGATTGGTTGCTAATTTGATCACAGTGGGGTGAGGAGTATGACCTTATAATAAAAAGAAATTATGTAATAAATGGCGCTTCTCTTAAATTAGCAAAATTTTAATAAAAATCTATATATTATAATGAAATTATTAAAATAGATACAAAAGTTTTGTATATATAGTTTAATATAAAATATATAAATAATACAATTGTATTATTTAAAGAAATATAAAAATATAGTTTATATTGTATATAATTTTAAATAAAAATATTTTATTTATTAATAATATATAGTTTAAAAGTATTTATATTTAAATAATTTTATATTAAAAAAATAAATTACCAAATTTCTATTTTATCAATTGCATTTTGCAAATCTAAATCAATTTTTTCTTTTTCATTAATTTCAATATTTTCAGAAGTTTCTGTTAAATTACTTGTATCATCATCTTCATTTTCATCATCATCATCATCTTCTAAATCTTCTTTAGTAAGTTTATCTTTGTCTTCAGCTTCTAAATGTTTTATAAATGCATTTACATTGCTCCATATTCCTTCGTTAAAATATTTTGTACAATGATTGCACTTAAATTCTAATTGATTATAACAAGTCCAATGGTATCCATGACTACATATTAAAACAGTTCCATCAGAATCATGTTCAAATGGTTTATAACAGTGATCACAACTATTAAAAGTAGGTGGATATGTAGTATGATATCCTGTTGGTAATACTCTTTCATCTACATCCTCCATAGTAATATATTTAATATTCAAATCTTTTTCTTTTTTGTCTTTTTTTGATTTTGGTTTTGGTTTTGTTGTAGATAATGTAGCATTAATTTTTAATACTTTTTGATATTCTTCAAAAACTATTTGAAATTGTTTAAGTAAAAATAAACATGTTTTGTTAATTAAAAATTCTAATTCAGATGGTGAATATGGATAATGTTTGGTATTCATAAATGCTTCTTTAAAAACAGAATGTTTATTAGCATCTAATAATAAATAGAATTATTAGTATTTATATTTTATAATTAATAATAATAACAATTTTAAAATACCTAATAAATATGCTTGTTTTTGAATATTATCTGCATTATCTTTACTTGTTGTTGATGCTCTAATTCTGCTATGAATATTTTCAATCCAATAATCATTAAAATTAACTAAAAAAAGCTTAATTGCTTCTTTCATAGGATGATTATTTTGTTCCCAATAAAATATATCTGATAAAAATGCTAGCAGAGCTTTATTATAATTTTTGCATTTCCATCTTAAAGCAAAAGTCCAAATACGAAAAATTGTTTCAAGATATTCATCAAATGATCCTGATCGAAATAATACTGCATATATATCAAGTACTGCTGGAATAATATTATCTAAAAGATCAATTAATGTTCGATATTCTATAAATTTGTATAAAGATCCAAATTTTTTTAATATTAAACTTCTAATTTTAATCTATGCACTATATGTTAATTCCAGAAGTAAATTTATTCTCCATGGTCTTGGTTTCTTAGCAAATTTTTTACGTAATCCAAATACATTATGAAATAGTTTTTTAAAAAAACTATAATAAACTTTTATAACTTGCTCTCTACTATTAAGACTAACATGTAATGGTCCAAGAATAGGAACAAATGAAATTACTCCAGGTGGAATTTGTGCTTTTAAATTATCTTTATGCAAATGAGTAATAGCTCTTCTAATAAATAATTGTCCTGGCCAATCTGCAATTACTGGAGCAATATAATTATTTAAATGATTTGTTTTTTCATTATATTTAAGTATTATATTTAAAATTTCTAAATAATCTTGCATAGAATGAAGATGCTGTTGTTTAATTCCAATTAATATTGTTTCTTTCATTTTTCTTTCTTCTTTTCTTTCTACAATTGCATCATCATAACAATGTATAGTAAGTTGATCAATACGATCAAATTCAAAATTTTCAGCTTGTTTTGTGCTAGCCCATTGTATTTTGCATTGTGTATAAGAAAGATCAAAAAGCCCTTGATATGTATTAATAAGTTTTTCACAAATAATTGATGCATCAATATTTACTGGATTATGAACTGATATATCATTAAAAAATACTGATACTGGTGCACACTGTTCAACTTTTTTGCACATACTTGTTGCTAAGTGAACTGATCCTGATAAATTAGTATCATCTGGTCTCCTTTTTTCATGAATATTATGATAATCATCTATATTATATACACAAAGTGAATCTTTCTAATAATAAATAAAAAATTAAAAATTAAAATATTATTTAAAAATATTATAATATTTAAAAATTTTACTTACGTTTTTAATAAAATATTGTTCAACTTTTAATGGATGTTGTGCAGCAATTTTTTTTTTATTATTATAAACTGTTTTATTAGTAACAGAAATTCTAGCATTACTTAAAGTATTAATTGTTTCACAAGATGCTCCACATGCTGCAAGATATAGCCCAAGCTCCAATTTAAATTGATTAGCTTGCATATTACGAAGACCAACAATTATATAAAGAATTACTACAACTTTTTTTTTAGCATCTTCTTGTAAATTTGATGACCAATTTAATGGTATTATAATTTTGCATATTTCATCAAAAAATCCAATTAAATCAGAATCCGATTCTTCAAGCATTTTTTTAAAATCATTAGGTTCTAGTACAAGAGTAGCTGATTCTTTTCGTTGTTTATTATATATTATAGTTGTCATTTTTTTTATCTTATCGGCAAGAGATAATTGTGATGATAAATCTAAAAATAATAAATTATAAATTACAAATAAAAATTTAATATAATTAAATAAAATATAAATATTTACCAACAGGATTATTATTTTCAATAATATTATCTGAACTAATATTATTTGAACTAATATTATTTTGATAATTTTTTCTAAAATTATTCCAAGCATTTTCAACAATTTCCATATAATGAGCATTGCAAATTTGTTGATCTATTTGTAAATATGAATATTGTTGAAGAGATTTTGCAGCTAATGCTTTTGCAAAAGCATTGTCAGTTAAACTTTTAAATCTTGTAGATTCTTTGTTACAGTTGTAAATAGAACAAGGTCCTTGATTGGTTTTTTGTTTAGGCATATTGATAAAAAATTTTGTAATAAATTTAAAAAAAAATTTTAATAAATTTAATAATATTTATAAATAATTTATTGATATAAACTTATATATATATTTATACAATATTAACAAATTAATACATATATAGAATTAAGTATTTAATATAATTAAACCTCAATTATTATATTTTAAATCAAAATTATTTTATTTATATTTATGCATTTAATACTTTACAAAGATATACTTAAATTAGAAATATTAAAATTGTTTAAAATTACAATTTAAAACATAAAAAATAAATACTATAGATTTTAAATAATTTTATTAATTATAATACAATATTTATTTAAAATATACATTAATTATATTTTATTATAATATTGATATATGAGTGCTGCTAAGAGAAAACCTGTCATCGGGCTTTCAATTATATTTTGTATCGGAAATATTCTCTAAGAAATTAAATAGATTTTGTTTGGTACAAAATATAATTAAAAGCCTGATAGTAGGTTTTCTCTTGGCGGCACTAATATACAAATAAGCACATTAAAAAAATCTGATATCGGGCTTTCAATTATATTTTGTACAAATATATATTTTTTAAATATTCATTGTAAAATATAATTAATAGCCCGATAACAAATTAGATTTAGATTTTTTTAGTGGCACTTTAAATTATAATATGCGTGAGAGGAAAAAGGTGCAAGTAACACAAAATATTGTATGATTTTGACAAATCAAGTTTCAAGATCAGACTGATTTTAAAATTTGATTAGTCAAATCGTACAATATTTTGTGTTACTTGAACCTTTCCCCTCGCACACTCATTAGATCGCTTATTAATTTTTTAATTCAAATATTGATCATGCAATGATTAATATTATGAAATTTGTTTCAGCAGAACAAATTTTATAATATTAATCAATGCAAGATTCAATATTGATGTTATAATCATGATTTATATATACATCTGAACGTTTTTATTTTCTATTTTTGAAATTTGATCTATTGTATACTTGGATTATTTTGTAACTATCACTTTTTAGCCAATAATAACAAATTTTTATTTCCCTTTTTTTTTTTTAGTCGTTTGTCAATTCATTAATGTGGCTAACTAAATTTCAATTCGAGATTATTGTGCTTATGTAATAACATACAAAAATTACAACAAGAAAGAAATCTATGATCATAAGAGTTTGCACGATAATTATCGTTATTTAATATTTTAATTATCGTTATTTAATAAATCGTTATTTAATATTTTGTTATTTAATATTTATTTCAAATTATTGTTATTATAAGTTATTGGCTAACTGAGTTTTAATGTTTTAATTCAAAATTGTTGTACATCAGAATATAATGAACGTTGCGCAATGTTATACATATTAATAATAAATCTGGTTCATAGGCAGACGTTCGTATGATTGGCAGTTTAAATCAATTTAATTTTACAGTTTAAAGTACTTTTTAAAAAAAAGAAAACTACGAAGAATAAACAAAAAAGAAGTATATAGAAAGTTTTCGTAAGGTTGTAGGACTCCACTTTTAAAAATAATCAAAAATTCTTTTTTGTTTTAGAGAAGTTAGCATAATAATGACTTCTTAAAATTAGATTATCACCATGCTAACTTCTCTAAAATAAAAAGAATTTTGATTATTTTTAATAGTGGAGTCCTACGACCCTAATAAAACTTTCTATATCCTTCTTTTTTGTTTACTCTTCGTAGGTTTCTTTTTTTTAAAAAGTACTTTAAACTGTATAAATAATGTAAAATTAAATTGATTTGAACTGCCAATCATACGAATGTCTGCCTATAAAAATCTGGTGCTTTCACATGTAGCACATTCTTTCTTATAGCAAGATGTCAAATTACAACAAACAATTTGTTAGGTAGCTATTGTTTAGCTTCTTCAGCTCATTTTAATCTACCTTTCTTAACCTTTTGGGCTCTCTCTTTACAACTTTCAGGAGTAGATAATTTACCTGTTTTAGTGGTATAAGTTCTAGTCTGCCCTCCAAAAATAGTTGGCTTACTTTGGTTATCGGATCACCGAAAGAGTATCGATGTCTTGAACTATGTGCCATCCGATTGAACATATGGCAAATCCGGTTACAATTAACTAATAAAACATAAATATGAAATAATCAGGTAATTAGTAATATAATTAATAATAAAAATATAATTTTGCCAAAGATTCAAAGCATAAAGCAAAATGCTTAAATAGTGAAGCGGCAATTTACTTGATTAATTTTTCTAGCCCCTACTAATTAAAATCCTATTTCCAATTTAGATGCTTGAGAATGCTCTATATTAGATAGTTTAAAATACTTTAAAAAAAGAGCCAACTCGGAAATTTAAATTACCATTCAATCTCATATTTACACCATACTCATAAAAAACTCTATCTTCCCGATTGAAATTACTATATTTCATTAAAGTATCCTTCGAATC